TGCCGAATCAGCAAGTCGACCACCCGCTCGTGGCCGTAGTGGGCGGCGAGCATCAGCGCGGTCCAGCCGTCGCTGTTCAGCAGGTTGACCTTCGCCCCGCGCCGCAGCAGTAGCTCAACAACCCGCTCGTGGCCTCTTTCGGCGGCGCACATCAGCGCGGTGTAGCCGGCGCTGTTCAGCAGGTCGACCTCCGCACCGTGCTGCAGCAGCAGCTCGACCACCCGCTCGCGGCCGTAGTTGGCGGCGATCATCAGCGCGGTGCCGCCGATGCTGTTCTGCAGGTTGACCGCTGCGCCGTGCTGCAAAAGCAACTCGACCAGCCGCTCGTGGCCGTTGTGGGCGGCGCCCATCAGCAGCGTGAGGCCGCTCACGCCGTCTCTCTCGTGCGTCGCGTCGGCCCGCCCGCCGCCCTCGAGCCACGCCAGGACCACGTCCTCGTCGCCTCGCTCTGCAGCTGCCACGACCTCGCCGGAGACTGCCACGACACCGCTCGGCGCCCGCTTCGCCGCAGCCGGCGACAGATTACCCGGCCGCACCCGCACGCTCTCGCCGCCGCCCTCGAGCGCCACAGCGTACCGCCCGCCCTCGAAGCTCTGCGCCACGCCCCGCTGCCCGTTCAGCTCGGGGCGGGAAGAGAGGCCGCCGAGCACGACGCGCTGGCCGAGCAGCGGCGCTGGCTCGCTGCTCAGCTCGCCGGCGTGCACCATGTGCCGATGCCAGAGCTGCCCCGGCCCGCCTCTACTCTGGGGTGATCGCCGTCTACTTCCTCGAGAACGGCAGCTCCCCCGAGATCGTCAGCGCCGTCCGCGCCTTTCTCCGCGACTACGCTCACCTCCTCACCGACACGCGCAACCCCGGCGTGATCGACGAGTGGTTGACTGACAACGCAAGCTACTTCACTTCCGAGCTCACCGACGAGCTCTGCATCACCCTCTCCATCCAACGCTTCTTCTCCTCCCCCGACATCCACGAGGGAAACGCTCTCGCCGAGCGCTGCTGGGGGACCCTCCTCCACTGCACGCGCACCGCTCTCGTCCACACGCTGGGGGAGATCGGGAGCACATTCAGTTCTGGCCCTACCTGTTCAGCCAGTTCGCCCGCGTCCACAACCTCTTGCAGACGAACAGGGGCTCCAGCGCTGAGCCACGATGGGTCTCGCCTATCGAGGTCGCCAGCGGCCACCCTCGCAACTACGCCCTCGAGAACTTCAAGGTGATGCTCTGCGACTGCTCCTGCGTCCTCCCCGAGTCGCTCCGCGCGCACGACCTCACCCCCACTCGTCTCAAGGGCATCAACCTCGGCCACGACCCGCGGCGCTCCAAGTACCTCGTCTACATCCCCGCCGTCCGGCGGATCATCTCTACCGCCGACGTCATCTTCGACGAGTTCTCCTTCACCACCCTCGGCGGCGCCTGGCAACCCTTCAAGATCCGCGGCGCCGTCGAACAAGAACGCCCTCAAGTCCCCGAGGCGATCGTCCGCGCCGAGCCTCCCGCCGCACCAGCGGCGCCAAGGGGCGCGCCCATCGCCCCGCCCGCCGCGCGAGCTGCGCCCGCTCATCCCGCCGTCCCGCGGCGCTCAGCTCGGATCGCCGCGCGCGGCTGACCAAGCTCTACTACCCATGTTGTTCAATTGACATCCAGTCGACCGCTCCGATAGTCTACTACCTTGAGCCCGGGAGACGGAAGGTCACACATGCCACGTTCACTAGCTCGCGCCTCTGATCAGCGTGACAATTACTTGCTTCACACTCCGCTGTGTTGTCTGCCGCATCTGAAGACCGCGCAGACAATGGGGGAGTGTTGGGAGTGTGAATACCCCATTCGTGTATATAGAGAGATGTCCCTGTTGAGTACTGTCCGATAGTCGAGATGCCTTGTTCCAGAGGGATGTGTCCTGGACGGCGTCTCGTCGTGGTCCTTCAGGACGATAGCTTTGTGTCCTTCAGGACGATGGTGATCTTGGTTTGATCGTTCCTGTACGCCTCGGTACAGACCCTCGCTCCGTGTACAGCTCACAGCTCACTACAATGGTTCGATCCTCCCCAGAGTCGAACTGGCAGCCACTCGCACCAAGGAGGCGAGGTGAGGCGAGGTGAGGCGAGGTGAGGCGAGGTGAGGCGAGAGGAGGCGAGGTGAGGCGAGGTGAGGCGAGGTGAGGCGAGGTGAGGCGAGGTGAGGCGAGGTGAGGCGAGGTGAGGCGAGGTGTGGCTACGTGACCCAGAAAAGGCCAGAGTCGAGAGCAACCCTCGGGCTGGGTCGCTCATATACTCAACACGCCCCCACGACGCAGCACGAGGTTGCTGCTGTATATCCGATACCGCCGTGTTTCGAGGTAGGGCAGGCGTTCCGGGACGCGAGTTCCCCCGGGTTACCTTGGGCACTATTTTCGATCTTTTTCGTAGCTCACACACGAAGGGACTCAAATCTTCGCAGACCGCCGTCGACCTGGGAGATCTCACCGGAGGTACCATGTTAATGGTTCGATCCTCCCCAGAGTAGTAATCAACGAAGTTTATGGCGAACTTGAACTTGTGGATGCTGAACGGCAGAAGCTTGAAGGGGCCGCAGAGATCGGACGCGACTCGCTCGCCAAAGTGGGTGTAGACTCGGCGATTGGTCGGCTGACTCGGGTGGCCTTTGCGGCGGCGATTGAGGCGACATGCAGCGCACTCACAGCGGTCGCTGCCGGGGCGGAAAACGTAGCCCCTGTAGCGCAGTGGTCCGATGATCTTGCTCCTGCCAAAGTGGCCGAGGCGGGCGTGTGCAGCCAGCCCGAAAAAAATAAAAAACAGGTAACAGCCCCTCTAGCGAGCACACACGTTCTGTCCTCCCATCCCCCTCTTGCGTTGTCTGCCTTCTTTTCTTTCACGCTAAAAGCATGAGCATGCCATTCAAACCCACCCGCTTCTCAACGGCCTCCCAAGCGCGAATAGAGGGTGCGCAGCGTCCTAATCTAAAATCTGAGGATTCAGGATTCAGGCATCGCTTCAGTGAGGCCAAAGTGAGTTTATGGATGTGTGAGAACGGTACGGGACACGAGGAGGCACGCGGATCGTCTCGTCGGTGACTGCTGCACGCCGTTTCAGAATTTTTCTCAGCGTGAGCGAGACGTCTAAGAGTGCCACCGTCGGGTAGGACGGGTCGGCCCGGAGTATCAGAGTAGCCGTCGTGGTCGCGGCGAGCAGCGCCGGCCACTCCGGCGCTGCGTCGGCAACGTGGGAGCATGTCCACCGCCACTTCGCGGTCGCAGCGCTGTTGTCGCCCAAAACGCCGCTACGTACCTTTTCGGGCAAACCATCGAGCTGTGTGTCGATTTCGACTTGACGGCGGCATGAAGGCATCACGTCTCCATGCCGCCGTCAAGTTGGAGCCAGTCTGCGGCGACCACAGCGCTCAGAAAGGTACATAGCCAGCTTTTCAGAGTCAAGCGATTGCGCGAAATCCCACACCCCCTAGCGCGAAGGAGTCATCGCTCTCGACCATCGCTCATCACAGACACACACACACGTAGCTCGTAGGTACAGAGGTACAGCAGGTCCGGTCCACGGCGCACACTGCGATCCACGACTTAACACGATCTCTCCGACAAACGGACAATCACCTTTCATCTCGCAGTGCTTCCGATCAGTGATCTCAAGGACTTGCAACGTACAGTCATCTGCGTTCAATCAGCACGGGCCACGCATGCCAACGTAACGATGTCGGCCGCCACTACCTGCGTGGGGCCCGGCCGCCACTATGGCGCCGCAACAACCTCGGACCGTGTGCCTGCAACCGCAGCGCAGGGTGGCCAAGACGGCACTCGGCCATCACTGCCAGGAGATCGACTCGCCCGTCAGCACTCGATCTGTCTACCGCCTTGACCTAGACGATAATTATTCTCATAGATCCGCCTAGGCCTCCTGCCTGGTGGCGAGCCGGTCGTCGGCCAGCTGCGAGAGCTCCCTCAGAGGGCTTCGAAGCGGGGACTGCGGGTCGCGGCCGGGCGCAGCGCTTGCCGGGCTTTGCGGCATGCGTCGATGCGGCGCTGCGCAACCCAGAGGATCGGGCGCATGCGGCTCCGCCACCGCCGGCGGCGCCCGCTCGAAGGCGCGCTTCCTCTCCCGTGCGAGCGCGAGCGCGGCGTGCTCCGGCCGGGTCCAAAACCCGAAGCGCATGCCACAGCCCGTGAACCCGAGGCGCCGAGCGTCGCTTGCGCACGGCTGCCAGTACGCTGAGTAGACGACGGCGCCGCTCGCGCCCTCCCGCTCGATGACGCCCTTGTAGCGCGACGGGTCGGTCTTATTCGCCTCGAGCACGAGCCCCTCGCCGGCCGCGGCTTGCTCGACTTGGCTCTTGCTCATCGCTTCAATCGCAGTGCGTTCAGCGCTGCTGTAGGTCCACCAGGCCTGGGGTGGCGACGCGGCGCCAGCCTGTGCAGTAGACGTCTCGGCGGGCCGCTTCCCGTTCGGCGGGTGGGAGCGGGCAAGGTTTGCGCCACCGCTTCCGACCCGCTTGCGAATGCTGCGAGCGTGCCTGGCCTTCTCGAGCGCGGCCTGCTCCGCCGTGGCGAAGAAGCCCAGTATCTTCCGCGCGGTCCTGCCGTTGCTCGCGGTGCTGTAGTCGGACGCATAGAACGGGTGGACGTGCGAGGTATCGCGAAAGGAGACGCCGACAAAGCCGGAGATGTTCTTCGCGCTGCGCACGAGGACGAGGCCCTCCGCGGCCGCCGCGGCGAGCGCGTCTTCGGCGGACATGTGCCGGTCGCAACCGCCGGCGGCGCACGCGAGGCAGCGCCGGCAGGAGCATGCCCGCGTAAGCATGGCTGGACGGCCGGCGACGGCGAGCTCTGCGTGCTTCTGCTTCGCGCGGTCAGACTGGCACGATGGAAAAAAGAAATCGCACTGATTGTCCATGGATCATCCCCGTGTGCGACAGCTGCAACCGGCGACGGCGTGCTTCGCAAGGTCAAACTGGCACGAAGGAAAAAAGAAATCGCTGAGAAGTTCTCCGGGCGTTAATGGTACTGCGCGGAAGTGCGCGCGCGTCGCTCGGTGCACCGACGGGGTCGTCAACGATGGCGTCGAACATGTCCTGCTGCAAGGCGTCGTCGTTGTTGTTTGTTTTGTCGTTGGCGACGTGACAAGAGGATCACGATTCACGCTTCACGCGACGTGCTGGATCGAAGTGGCGCCCCAGATCTGTTCGATCCCCTCGTAGTTGATCGAGCCATATCGTCCGCGACGATCTTGCTGCGGATGGACTTCCAGTCGTCGGCCTCGCCGTCCGGGCCGTTCCTGAACCCCGCCGAGTTGTTCACGAGTTCCTCGACGAACGCGATTGCCTCTGCGAGCATCGGCACGTCGGTACAAAATGTTGACTGTATGGAAGTTGAGGCTGGTCGAGAGGGAGAGGCTGCCGTGCGAGCCGGCAGCTGGCTGGCTCGTCGTGGACGGCCGCCGGCGTCTTTTTCGGCTTTTTCTCTGATAGTACCGTATACCGTATACGGTACTTTCGTTTACCCACACTAAGCGAGTACCAGAGCGGTGAAAACCCCGCTTACGAGCAAGGGATTCCGCGGGTACACCATTATGAATGGAGCGGCGTGATGGAGCGGCGTGCTTACGAGCGAAGACATTTTTCTTTTTTTTGAGAGCGCCTTCGTTGTTAATAGTACAAACCCAATGGTCCTCTGCGAGCGGTCCGTCGTTGCAGTCGCACACACGCACACGCCACGGAGGAGCGCTTTTCTTTTTTCGAAAATCGAACTGCGGCGTGCCTGCTGACCGCCTTGTTGCCCGTCCGGGGCCACTTAAAGCTCCCCATGGGCGCCTGCAGCTCCAAGAACGAGGAGCCGCACCGGGACGGAGACACCGCCCCGAGCAGAGGGCTGAGGAGGGGGCGGAGCAAGGGCAACTTTAATACCGACCTGCGCGACAAGAATGAGACGACGAAAACTTTCTCGGAAGTGCTGGTTCGCAAGAACCAGCTGCCAGTGTGGGAGGTCTACGACCTGTCGCAGGGCGTCGAGCTCGGGCGGGGCGCGTGCGGCATGGTACAGGTCGTCAAGAAGATCTCATCCGGTGAGGCCCGCCGCTTGCGCCTCTTTCGCCGCTCGCTCCCGCCCGCACACCGCCCTCTCGCCTCCTCCGCCCCTCGGGGCGCTGCCGCGGCCAGCCGGGCCCGGGCTGTCCGCCCGCGCCACTGCCTGACCCGACAGCCCGCGCGCCTCCCCGCCCGCCCGCGGTTTGCATCGCGGCAGCACACCGCGCCGAGGCACGGCCGGCGGCGACGCGGCTTGGGGAGAATGGCCGCCTTTAGTGCAGCCGCCGCTTCGCCCGCGAGCCGCCGCCGCGGCCCGAGCCGCCGCCTCTTTGCTGGGTCCCCGCCTCTCCCGCCCAGTTGGGCCGCTCCTCCCCCCCCCCCCCTGGATCACCGCAGCCTACCCTCACTGCTGCCCTCCCCGCCGCCGCTGCTGCCGCTTCAGCGCCGCGCCCCCGCGTTCAACTGCGGCACCTCTTGCTGTCGCCTCCCCGCTCCCACTCGCCCCGGCTGCCCGCCCGCGCGCCAGGCGATCTCCCCACATCTCCCCCCACATCTCCCCATATCTCCCCACATCTCCCGCGCGCCAGGCGAGCTCTTCGCGATGAAGACGGTCTCGCTGGACAACATGGGCGGTGAGACGATGGAGGTTCGCCACCCACTCACCCCAACCCTCCCCTACCTCACTGTACCCGAACCCACCCTCCCTAGACATGGAGGCGTGCCTCCCCCTCAAACCTCCACCTCACCAGTCCTGCCCCCCCCC